TTTTCATCCTGAAGCAAAGTTCTTAACCCGAGGTACTATTTCTGGGTTAGTGGAATCTGTAACCTGAAGCATCTGTAACCTGAAGCGTCTGTAACCCGAGGTACCACTGTACTTAGTCATCGCAAGCTCTTTCCCCAAGCGCTTGTAAGCATTTTCTGCCACTCACTGCCGATTCTTTGCCACCTTCAGATTCATTTGATTACATTCCCCCAATCTTTTAAAATCAAAACTCAGCTGGTTAGAGTGTGGTGCTGATAATGCCAAGGTTGCAGGTTCGATTCCTGAATTGCAGGGGGGGTTGGACTAGATGATCCTCAGGGTCCCTTCCAACTCTACAGTTCTATGAAAATATCATCGGTCAGAAAGACAATGCATAATTTAAAAAAATAAAATAAAACAGAAATATGCTTCTCTTTCAAAACTCTTTAGTCATGGTTAATAATCTCTAGCTTCCCTGCTGCAAAATCAGCCCTGAAACTTGAAACTCATCATTTCTGCCTCAAATGTCACTCCCTCTCAATCTGCTCCTTCATTTACCCTTTTATTCCATCTCTTCTAGGCCCACCCATTCCTTTCCTAAATCAGATCCATCTGTATCTAATCTACTTTGAAAACACTCCAGGCTTCTATAAAGTTAAGCTTCCAAGTTGCCCGGCCAGCAACCCTTGCGCCCTGAATACGAAGTTATCTCTCATTTAAAGAGACAGGGAGTTGTTGTTGTTTAGTTGTGTCCGACTCTTCGTGACCCCATGGACCAGAGCACGCCAGGCACTTCTGTCTTCCACTGCCTCCCGCAGTTTGGTCAAACTCATGCTGGTAGCTTCGAGAACACTGTCCAACCATCTCGTCCTCTGTCGTCCCCTTCTCCTTGTGCCCTCCATCTTTCCCAACATCCTTGCCGTGGCGAAGGGGCTTGAATAACTCAGAGAAGCTATGAACTATGCCGAGCAGGGCACCCAAGATGGACAGGTCATAGTGGCAGTGGCGTAGCGTGGGGGGTGCAGGGGGGGCCGGCCGCACCGGGCGCAACATCTGGGGTTAGGGCAAATCCACGGGTTAGGGGGCGCAAATCCACAGGTTAGGGGGCGCAAATCCACGGGTTAGGGGGCGCAAATTACTTGCCTTGCCCCGGGTGCTGACAACCCACGCTACGCCGCTGCATAGTGGAGTTTTGACCAAACATGATCCACCTGCAGCAGGAACCGGCAAGCCACTCCAATATCCCTGCCAAGAAAACTCCATGGACAAAGACGACAGGGAGTTACTCCTAAGTAAAGCGTGCAGAGCAAAACAGGAACTGCAGATTGTTTGTATCCCTTGGCAGGCTGATGCAATGGCCCAGACGCCCCTTTGAGGATGCAGAAAAGGCAGTGGACGGTCTGAAAAAAGAGACTTCACTCCTTAAATCAAGACTAAAGGGTAAAGGTACCCCTGCCCGTTCGGGCCAGTCTTGCCAGACTCTAGGGTTGTGCGCTCATCTCACTCTATAGGCCGGGAGCCAGTGCTGTCCGCAGACACTTCAAGACTAGTACAATATTTATTTTGTAGGGCGGTGACTTGGGAAAAATAGTAGGAACAGAACGTTTGTCTGTCGTATTAACCCTTAGCGAAGGAGGGCACTGGACCCCAGACATGCTCTTTTGCAACTGCAAGCAAATTCTCCAGGATTTGCATTGTGTGTGTGTGTGTTTTTAAAAAGAAACCCCTAGTCAGGCAAAGACCTAAATGGCTGCCACATGGGGGATGGAGCAAACTTATCTCCTCCCGCTCCAGAAAGTAGGACCTGATCCAATGCATTCAAGCGACGAGAAAGGGGAAACGGACTCAACCTCAAGAAGAACTTTCTGACAGTGGGAGCAGCTCCACAGTAAAACAGACTTAATGGGTGTAGCCGGGGTGTTATGTGTGTGCAGCTCCCCCCCCCCCAAAATCAAGTGAATGAATGAAAAGATTCCGACAGTTTCTCCTGAGCACTTGGGGTCCAAAGAAAGAATTTTAAAACAACGGTTGAGACATTTCATTCAGAATCCGCTACGGAGAATGACAGGTGGGTGTCCTGCTTCCCACGCCCCCCCCCGGCGCAACATAAATCCAGTCTATGCCCATAAACAGACTTCTTCCAAGAGGGGACCCCTCTCCTTCCTTGGAGGTTTCCAAGCAGAGGAGGTGCCGATGGCCACCTGTCACGAAATTCCCGCATTGCAAAAGGGGGTGGGGGCTAGAACCTTGGGGGGGGTTCCTTTCAACTTCTGCGATTCTACGAACTAACCCTTTTCACCCGTGGGGGGGACGGGACGGGACGTGCGCACAGCAGCGATGCCGCGATCGCCATGCAACTCGCTCCAGCTTTTGCAGCCCGGGGCGCGCGCTCGGGGCGCCTCCTCCGTCGGCGCCACGTGGTGCTGGGGGGTCTTCCCCTTTCCCCGCGGGGGAGGAGGGGGTCCCGCTTCCCCCGCGAGCAACTTCCAGCTCCTTCTTGCCAGCAGGTGGCTCCTGCCGACCGCCTCTCCTCCACCAGATCCGGAGCGCGCGCGCGCGCTTCGGCTGCAAATGCAAACGACTCCCCTTCTTGCATTCTTATTTTTTTATTTTTTTAAAAAAAGCAAGTCTGTAAATATGCAATGCAATCGAGAGCAACCCCCAAACACACCCCCGGCTGTTTTTTTTGCTTTTGCAAACCGGTTTGGCTGCGGCGGAAAGCGCTCCTCCGGGAGTCCCTGGGCTCGTTTTTGCTCCCTTCGTGGCGGCGGCGGCAGCTGCAGCTCAGCCGGGTTGCAACAGGCGACGACCCCTTTGTTCTCCCCCTTGCTGCCCTCTTGCGCCGAAGTGTCCCCGGCGCAGCAGCAGCAGCAGCAGCGCCCTCTGCAGGGACTTGGGAGGCGCTGAGCGGAGCGGGGATGTCCTGCAATGCTTCCTTGCGCACGCTGGGAAAAACCGTGTCGCTGCCTTGGAGAGATTTGTTGCAAGACCGGGAGCTGCCAGCTAACACGTTGCAACAGCGGAAGCAAACGGAGTAGGGCGGGGAGGGGGGCAGGCAGCTGAATGACCCCCCAAAACAGCAGGGCTAGGTTGCCACGTGGTGCAAAAAAGTGAAGGAAGGAAGGAATGTGCGGGACTGGCCCTGTCAATGTTTTCATTCAAATGAATCCCCAAGCGGCTTACAAATAATAAACGACAGTAAAGTGGTGGAACATAATTAGAACATCACAAATGCAGCACGAATAATTAAATATTTGATTCGATTTTCTGTAGTTGCACCCGCCCTGTGTAATGCCCTCCTGGCAGGTGTTAAAAAAAATAAAATACACATATTCGTAGGCATATGAAGGCAGCCCTGTTTCAGGAAGTTTTTAATGCTTGATTTATTTTTGATGGCGGGTGCCCAGAGGGACTGGGGCAACCCAGTCAGTTTGGCAGGGTATACAAAATAAATTATTATAGTTGTTCCTGCTGTGGAACATAATGAACATCACAGATACAGAAGAAATCATACAGGATAATCAAATATTTGATTTGATATATTTCTTTGCCGCTTTTCATTTAAATAAATCCCCAAACGGCTTACAAACAATAAATAACAATAACAGGATGCAATATAATAGAACATCAGAAATAAAGCATGAAACATACAGAATAATTAAACCATCAGCGAAAAAATTGCGACCTTATAACACACTGTTAACAAAGCAACAACTAAAAAAATAAGCTAAGCATCACAAAAGCAAAAAGCATATCTCGTGATTCACAAATTAATACAGCAGCTTGATAAAGGGTGGCGTATAAATCATATTATCATCATCGCCATCATCTAGAAAACAACATTAACAAAATAGCCACCGAAAGATAAACTAAGCGCTGCTAAGATTGTAAAAACTATCTCCACACCCCCATGACACATACAGTGGTACACCGAGCTGCAATTTGAAGTAGCACAGAACTGACAACAAGCATTTTAGCATGTTCATGAGTAGCCGCATCTCCTTTATTATGTACAACTGAAATCCCTTTTTCTTTCCATTGATGGGAGGGGAAAAAACCACATTTTTCTGCCATGGAGGTTTTCCCTCCAGAGTCTCTTAATGAAGTACCCACTAAATTGTGTGTGATGCAATACATTTGGGGGGGGGTTGTTCTTGAATTGCTCTTGGTTTTATTATGTGTTTGTTTTTACACAGTGGAACCTCAGGTTATAGATGCTTCAGGTTACAGACACTTCAGGTTACGGACTCCACTAACCCAGAAATAGTGCTTCAGGTTAAGAACTTTGCTTCAGGATGAGAACAGAAATCGTGCTCCAGTTGGCGCGGTGGCAGCGGGAGGCCCCATTAGCTAAAGTGGTGCTTCAGGTTAAGAACAGTTTCAGGTTAAGAACGGACCTCCGGAATGAATTAAGTTCTTAACCAGAGGTACCACTGTACTGGTAATCTTTCACTCTGTTCAGTTTATTAACATACACAGAATGTCATTAGGGAAGAGCGTTGCATCTAGAGGTCAAAAGTTGCCTAACTTCTCCCATGGTTTAAAAGCTAACAAAATTATGATGGTCCAGAAAAGTTATTATAGTCCACAAAGACATATGACTTTATAAATGTGCTAATCTTTTTGCAGATCTGGCATCCCACTAATGATTCTGGTCTCCATCATCCCTGACCACTGGTTTTGCTGGCTGGAGCTGTCAAGACTCCGACAAGGTCTGGAGTGCTCTGCGTTGACTACCCCTCTTCATTTTGTGTGTGTGTGTTTTGCAATATATATATATATATATATATATATATATATATGAGAGATACAAACATTTTCACAACAGTCTTCGTAACAAATAGTTACATTGTTTCATTATTTGACTTCCCATCCCCGTTTCCGCAGTGGTTTTACTCAAACCTTTTCTTCTGCATTATATCTTTATTTATTACACAAATTCTCTCTATTACAATAGTAATAGTGTACAGTCATACCTCGTGTTTTGTTTGCTTCAAGTTGAGCATTTTCAGGTTGGGTCCCGTGGCGACCCAGAAGTACCGGAAAGGGTTACTTCCGGGTTTTGCCACTCGTGCATGCTCAGACACTCAAAATGGCGTCATGCGCAGAAGCGGCGAATCGCAACCCGCGCACACGCAGACACGGGTTGCGTTCTGCTCATGTTGCGAACGGGGCTTCAGAACGGATCCCATTCGCAACCAGAGGTACCACTGCAGTATTTTTAAAAAAATAATCCAGGAAAGGCCTCCATTCTTCTATGAAAAATTCATCATTTTGATGTCTTAATTTCGCTGTCAGCTTTGCCATTTCTGCATAGTCCTTTACTTTTGAAAGCCTCCATTGGAACCTGCTCTTCTTTCCATTTCTGCACATATAATAATATTCTGTCACGTACATCTTCTTTGGAACCTGTGTCCCTATTATGCCTATCTATTTACGTGTTTTCAGACTTTTGGAGAGACAACACAACGTCGATTTCTTTGCCATTGCCAATATAAGGGGGTTTGGAGGGGGATTCAAGTTACAAGAAAGGAGATTCCGACTGAACATCAGGAAAAACTTTCTGGCGGTAAGAGCTATCAAAGTAATATTCAATAGTACATTAGAATTTAATAGTACACAGTAAAGTTAAATATCAGCAAATAATAAACAAAGTTTTTAACAATTAGAAATAAATAATTTCTAAACTATAATCAGTAAAAATAAAAGCAAGTCACAGTGCATAAAATAACAATACAAATCGAAAAGGAAAGACACACAACTTATATAATTTTTTTTAAAAAAATATCCCTGAACTCCTCTCTTCCCAACTCCACCTCCTGTTCCTAAAGTCATGGTTTGAGAATGGCTCCTAGGCTTGGAGGCTGCTGGACAGTGACTCTGATGTCTTTTCAACACCAAAGGAAGAAATTTTTAATTCTCCCAGGCATTTTAACTGTGGGGATTTTATCTCTAGTGATGTGCTTTTATGCTGCTCTGCCATCTGCTGTTGTTCCTTGTTTTGTTTGTTTTTAAACTAGACTGCTTTTCGTTTTTAAAACCATCCCACAGCGGTTTACAACAGCAGGTTTACATACGGTAATCGTGGCAAAACTTACCAAGACAATAAAACATCACCAAGACAGTGGTGTAAAACTCACATCAATAGCTGGGCAATAACTAGGCAAAAATACAAAATTCTGATAAACAATGGGAAAAGACCCCTGTTGTTGTCTGCTATATGACTGTGCACATGGGGGGCATGTACCACAAAATACCGGTAAGTGCCACTGCGTAGAATTCTTCACCGGTGCAATTTCACAGGTTGTGGCAGCAAGCACCCTCCAAAAATCAGCGTGATCTAACAGGCCTGCACGGGGAAGGTGTTCTTCCAGGTAACTGTGCCCTGAAGTTGTTTAGGACTTTCTATCTTGATAACAGCACCTTAAACCTGGCAAATTAGCACCCCTTTCTGCGCAGGTGTTATGTGTGAATGGCCAGATGTCTCTCTTAGCAGCCTAGCTGAGTGTTCTGCACCAGTTTGTGGTTTTATTGCTGTTTTTATTTTTTAAATTAGGGATGCAAGACCGTGTTCCTGCAGTGCTCTGACGCTTAAATACCGACAGTGGCAGAAATGGTAAAATTGTAAGTCATAGAGGGCAAAATGTACAGTGTGATGTTAAAGTACATACAGAGGTTTGGGGAATGGGTTGGGAGAGTGATTGCGGATGGCCCTGTCCATTCCTTAATCCAGGATGAGGAACTGCAGCGCTCCAGATGTTGCAGAACTACAGTTCCCATCGCACCTGGCTGTTCATGTCGTTGAAATTCTACTCAACATTGATCCAGAGTAGATTCCAATGTGGCGGGAAGGTAAACGGCGTTTCCGTGTGCTGCGCTGGCTCGCCAGATGCAGCTTTGTCACGCTGGCCACGTGACCCGGAAGTGTCTCCGGACAGCGCTGGCCCCCGGCCTCTTAAGTGAGATGGGCGCACAACCCTGGAGTCTGTCAAGACTGGCCCGTACGGGCAGGGGTACCTTTACCTTTACCTTTAGATTCCAATGTATAGTAGCAGAGTAAAAACTTAAACACGTTGCAGGATCCCCCCAAAATAGACCAGAGGTAATTGTATTTCATCCAACAGAGCCATAGCTGTCAACTTAATAAGGGACCAGCAGCCTCGAAAATAAGGGATCAGCAGCCAAAATAAGGGATTTTAGTCAACCAGCAGCCAAAGGAAGCCTCAAGCGGTGGTTCCCACAGCGCAGCAACCCGGCAAAGGGGATGCAGCAAGTAAAACCACAGTCACCTCTCCGCTGGGAAGTGCTGAGCAAAGGCTAGTCCCCAGGCAACGTGGCCGATTTGATCGGCACAAGGCATGCAAGCTCCACCCCCCAGTGGTTCTTAGACTCCTTATTGGGTGAGCAACGCAGCCAAGCAACACAGTTGGAGCCTCCCTCCTCCCGGGCCGGCAGGGAGGGAGGGAGAGGAGCTGCTTCCTTTGAAACCTGGGAAATTTAAGGGACAACATCAATAAGGGACAGCAGTGGGACACGGCGCTGGGATAAGGGACTTTCCCGCCAAATAAGGGACGGTTGACAGCTATGAACAGAGCTTTACTACTACTGAGGGCAAATGAGTGTAATAATCACAAATCCAATACATTCAGGACTGGCACTGTCCATAAGAAATCCAGATGCAGTAGACTTAACCTAAACTTACAATAACTTATAATAAGACCAAACCTTAACACTAAGCATACTATGTATAGAAAACCACACCAGAAGAAAAAGAGATAGAAAATGAAACCCAGGCTCCTTCTGGCCCTACTTTCATAGTCAGCATGACCTTGACAGAAAGAGATAAGAGAACCAGTTTAAACCAGTTGTACTCAGCTTCTCTGAAGGAATAACCCAAACATCACGAACCTTCTGCTTGTTTCTTTCACACAGAGAAGCTTCCAGAACCCTCTTGAATTAATTAGAATAGGAAAGATCTCTACACATCAGATCAATACTTTCTGCACCAAGAAATGCAAACTGACAGTTGACCATACTGACTGGGACAATTTGGAGAGGCATCAATTGCCATGAGGCTGCAATTTCCTTTATCTCTACTCTTAATGATACTGGAGAGCCAAAGAAGCTTTTACTTCAGAGTTATAGGTCATGTTGTCACACCTTCGAGGGTGTAACCCTCACTTACTTACTTGGGAGTAAGCCCCATTGAATTCAATAGGAGTTCCTTCTGAGTAGATATGCTTAAGATCGCACTGTTAGAATCCTCTTACTGATTTTACTACTGTTGCTGCCTATATATTTTTTAAATCATTTTTGCTCTCATTGTTGTATTTCTGTTTTTATTATAAATCCATCCTAGGGAAGTTTATTTGAAAGGTGGGGGGTATAAATACCTAAAACAAACATACAGGCATATAGAATAAACCATGCACGGTTGTCAGCCAACCACGAAAAAAAGCCTTGTCTGTTCCTGTGGCTTGATGTTCAGAATTTGGCAGGCAAAACTTTCCATGGTGTGGAAATAAATCATTTAACGCCTGCTCATTGAGAAATTTGCAGAGAGCTGTGCTCATCGTTCCTACAGATCAAGCCGCTGTTAAACACACAGCTGCCACAACTGGTTAAAACGTTGGCAGCCCTAACTTTGCATGGCCCGATAACCAAATTTCCAGTTGTTGCACCAGTTCTTTTCCAACATGGGAGCATCAAAGCCTGTCTTGTGATCAGATTCCCATCCCGCTCTCCAAATGACTAAGAAGGCTTAGTGATATTGCCAGCTGGCTGAATAACAATGGTCTGGCCTGCTCCATCCTGTGTTATGCAGGAATCTTACCTGCTACTGTCTGCAAACCCAGCAGCTGTTGGGGGCAGGAACCAGGACAGCAAAAATAATCTTTAAGAAGAGGAGACTTAAGGGACATAAAGTTGAATTTTTGGATACTGCCCTCCTTTTCCTACATGAACTACCATATTTTTCGCTCTATAAGACGCACCAGACCACAAGACGCACCTAATTTTGGAGGAGGATAACAAGAATTTCCCCCCCCCCTGAATATCAGAAGCCAGAACAGCAAGAGGGATCGCTGTGCAGTGAAAGCAGCAATCCCTCTTGCTGTTCTGGCTTCTGGGATAGCTGCGCAGCCTGCATTTGCTCCATAAGATGCACACACATTCCCCTTACTTTTTGGGAGGGAAAAAGTAAGTCTTATAGAGCAAAAAATACAGTAATGTCAATACTCAGCCCCACCAAACTAAAATTCCAAATATATTTTACCAATGGTAATTCAACAGATACAAAGACAACATCAGTTAATACTCTTCAAAGTTCTGTATTCCAGAAAGCACAGCACTACTTAGCAGAGCAATCAAGTGCTGCTTCAGAAGGAAAAAAACTCAAACCGGAATCAAGCTGCTACTGGTGAACTACAAAGTAAGCTGTTGCGTATTAATTGATTTTAGATACCTGCTTGTTGATTATGTGTAAAGCTTGATTATTTCGTTTGAGTGGGCAAGGCTGGGAGTTGGGGCAAGAGAAATGGGAAGTCTTTCATTGCAGCGCTAATGATCTGCCGTACGATATTTTCTCAACTGTAGAGGCTCATTAATTTGTTTCTGGTAAGGAAATATTTTCTCCTTTTCACTGCCGCGATAAAAATGTTTTGGTTGCGCACACTTTGCAACAGAGCTCTAAACGAACCACCGCCGTCCACTAATGTATGGATTACGTGGGTAGTTAGGTAGGAGAAAGCTGACGTTGCAAGAGGAAGAGTTCAGAAGGAGAACAAAGTCAGGACCAGGCTGCCATCCAGATGTGCGATGGAGATTTCATGCAAGCGAATATCTAATATTTAACTTTGCTCTACATTATGATAAACCGTTTAATCCCTTGGCTTGGTCTGCACTGGACAAGGTCAGAATTTCAGTCTTGTTGTATCCTCTAGGTGTGTATATCTTATTCTATCTGCCTGTAGCATGCCCCAGTGCTTTGCCTCCGTTCCTCTGCACTGCAGATGGAACTTGTCACGGGGTCAAGGAGCACAAATGTAGCAGGAGAGGTCTTTTCCTAGCCTACCGGCACTCTACTGCATCATTCCTACTCCAGGAGGGATGATTTCTTTGGCGCTTTTATTCCAAGAGGACCCTCTTATTTTTTGCAGCTTTATGGACACAAGCAAAACAACAACAAACCTATGGTTACGTGAAACATACTCAATAAACACACAAGACGTAACCGGCTGCACTTTTGAATAAATAAGGTATACTATTCATTGTATCAAATTGTAGATTTCAACGGAAGTCTCATAAAGTTCAATGAAAAAAGCAGAAGACCCAGTGGATCAGTTCATTCTATATTCCGTTCATGCATAAGGTCCATACATGTATAAATGTCTATTCCACCTGTCTGTTCATAGAGGCCAATAATTCACATGAAGGGTTGTTACAGTTCCACAGAATCCTTTCACAGAGTCTAAGACAAGGATTTCCGGAATATTAGCCTTGTTTCGCCATCCTAGGCTTCATCAGTACAATGAATAAAGGTAAAGGGACCCCTGACCATTAGGTCCAGTCGTGACTGACTCTGGGGTTGCGGCGCTCATCTCGCTTTATT